CTTGATTAATATCCGTTCAAAATATTGATGACCTCGCATTTACTTCTATCAATAGATGCAAATCTTTATATTACATTATATAAATATACTGTAATGCTTTGTACTTTTAAAATACTCCATTTGTAAACATTGAATAAATTTATCACTGTGAACTTTATCAAAGATTTCAATTTTTATTGTTCAGCTTTCGTCTGAACTCAATACCATTCGAAAAATAATACCTTCAACTTATCTTGAACTTGCTTTAAAAACCTTCGTTTTCTTTAATACTAAATATTTCAGATTTACAAGAAATTTGATGGTTATTTGCTTAATTAATCATAGATTCTCGATTTATAATCATAATCTGGCTCAGAATATCAGTACCACTGATTCAGTGTATCATAAATTATTAATATTTACTATGATCATCATAGGATCTAACAATGGTAAATTATCAATCAGCTGGTTAGAAGCTTGGAAAAGGCTTTTTTTGCTCACATGTTTTGTCCAAAGACCAATTTGTTAATAAAATGACCTGGTGATTGTCGCTCAGTTTAAATATTTTTTTGGCCATAAACAAAACTAAATATTTGCTCATCGACTCAACTTCAATTCAAGCGATAGTTTCTATCCAAATCCTATAGAATTTTGTTCTTTTTAGCTCAAGCAGTTTGATAAAAGGATATTTCTGTTTTTCAAGTAAGTATGTTTTATATTCAAGTAATCTTTTATCAATATTATGAATTTCATTGGAATAAAGTGCCATTTCCGATCTCATCTGTATACCGTATATTATCTATTAATTCATGGTTGAATATCATTCTCTTGTTTTTTTAGGTTATTTGTCCTACAGTCTCAGTTTTAAAGTGATTCACAACGGGGTGACTGGATTTGACCAAGTTCATAATCTCATTGGTATCTATCCTGTTTTATTAATTCAGCCTTTTCTCCGGTCAGATATGTCTAGGAAAAACGAAAGTGAGTATAATTGATTTTCCCAAGACCCACTAGCATTCAGTTTTGTTCAGTGACTTACAACTTTTGCCTTATCATTAATATTCTGTTTCTGAATACTGTCAATTATTCATTTGTTTCAAAGATGAGGATGTCATAAACTCTGCCGACTCTAAAGAGCTCGCTCATGACATGAAAGAAGTCAGTGATAACTCCACTTGTGATGATAGTGAAATGAAAAGCAATCAAGCACTCCGTGCCAAATTCCGTCAAGATTTTCTGGATACTTTATTGGCTCTACGCGATAAACAAGTGGACATTGTGATGTACGAATCTGGTTTTTCCTCTTTGAAAGCACAATACATAACAAGCGATGCAAACTTTAATTACTTGATCGTTGAAAATCTGAATACAGCCATAGGAGTTGTACCTAATGCAATCATCAGGAGTCAAGACTGTATTTCTCTGAGTTTTAACCTTGATTAATGATTACAATGTCTATCTGTTTGTCGATTTGTTAACCGCCCAGTACCCAGTAAGATCATTATTCATCCCTTGTATTAATGGATTCCCGATGTGCTTTTAGTTTTCCCATTAAACCATTTATTTTTTATTCTAATCTTAAATCAAACGTCAATATTCCTATCTCTTTGTTTCTTAAACCATATATTTCCTCAGATTTGATTGAAGAAGGCTGGCGCGAAGAAAGACCGGAAACCAATGATTCTACATCAGTCACTTATAATCCGAATCGAGGAATACCGATTGACCAACAAAGATTTCGATTACCAATCTATGAAGTAATTAAAAAGCCTATCTGAATCTCACAGATTGTCATTCTGTTATCTTATAACATTTTATTTCTTTTTAGTACAAAGATCATATTCTCTATTTGATAGAGAAAAATCAAGTTTTAATCGTCCGAGGAGAAACTGGATGTGGCAAAAGTACTCAGATAGGTCAATATTTAGTTGATGCAGGCTGGGCAAAAGGAAATGATTCCCCTCTGGTCGTAGGAATTACTCAGCCTAGACGAGTTGCTGCAACATCTTTAGCCAAGCGAGTAGCCGAAGAGAGAGGATGTCACTTGGGGAAAGAAGTTGGTTATAGCATACGATTCGATGACTGTTATGAACCTGGTACTACGCACATTAAATATCTAACCGAAGGGATTTTGATTCGCGAAATGATGAGTGATCCATTATTACAGAGCTATTCGGTTGTTATGGTGGATGAAATACATGAAAGAACTTTACAGACTGATGTGCTTCTTGGTTTGATGAAAAAAATACTCCGTAAAAGACCAGAATTTCGTTTGATTGTTGCATCCGCGACAGTGGAAGTTGAGACAATGGAAAATTATTTCACTGAAGATGGCCTCAAAACAACCAATATATCAATAGAAGGGAGAACTTTTCCAGTAGAAATATTTTATTCTAACGAACCAGTAGCTGATTATCTGAAAGCTTCTGTTGATGCTGTTATCAAAATTCACGAAACTCTTAGTCTTGGAGATGTTCTGGTATTCTTGACTGGCCAAGAAGAGGTAGAAAAGGCTTGTGAAACTCTATTGGATTATGCTAGAGGAATAAAAGACAATCCCGATCACAGGAAAATGTTTGTTTTGCCCATGTACTCATCATTACCATCACAAGAGCAACTCAAAGTATTTGATGTGTTTCCTCGATCCGTACGAAAAGTTGTTGTCGCTACCAATGTAGCTGAAGCTTCAATCACCATAAACGGAATTGTTTACGTCGTAGACAGTGGTTTTGTAAAATTACGATACTACAATCCAAAGACTTGTACTGACTCTTTAGTCGTTGTTCCCATTTCTCAAGCATCAGCCGCTCAAAGGGCCGGGCGAGCTGGTCGAACTAAACCTGGCTCTGCTTACCGTTTGTACACTGAAAATGATTTCAAAAACTTGGAGCCATTCACATGTCCGGAGATACGAAGATCCAGTTTGGCTCCCGTGATTCTTCAATTGAAAGCTCTTGGTGTCAATAATATTCTTAAATTCAGTTTTCCCAGTAAACCTCCCGAGTATAATATTATTACCGGCCTCGAACTCCTTTATGCCTTGGGAGGTCTCGATGACAATAGCCATCTAACAGACCCTCTTGGCCTACAAATGGTTGAATTTCCACTAGAGCCCATGTTCGCTAAGATGCTCCTCATCTCTGGAGAAATGGGTTGCTCCGAAGAAGCTCTAACCATTGCCGCTATGACACAAGTACAAAATGTTTTTGTTCAGCCATCGTCTGGACAACGTTCGATTGCTGCTCGAAACTGTAAACACTCATTTGCTGTGGAAGAAGGTGATCTGATTACTTATTTAAATGTTTACAATGCTTTCATTAAAGCTGGTAAAGTGAGAAGCTGGGCTGACTCGAAATATCTAAATTATAAAGGACTTTTAAGAGCAGTGGAAGTCCGAGCAAGATTACTCAGGTTGCTAAGACGTTTTGGTATTCCAATAGTTTCAGCTGAAGGAGATGTTGACTTGGTTAGAAGATGCGTTGTTACTGGTTTCTTTGCGAATGCTGCCTATTATCATCCATCTGGAGCTTACAAAACTGTCAAAGGTGAC